GTTAGCTCTACGCCTCATATCTTTAGAGTGCAAACCCCTCTCTTTCTCTCTGTTTCTTGCCTCCTCTTAAGTTATTTCCCCTCCACCTCATATTCCACCTCTTCCTTGATTGGTCTGGCTTCCTAACTGGAGGTTGTGATTGGCTCAGAGAGTATTGTCGTGCGGGCTCTGTGTCATACTGAGACAAGGCTGCAGTGTCTCTATTTCAGACACTTGTGGAGATGCAAGGTGTGTGCACAAATGCTCTTTTACACACACACACACACACACACACACACACACACACACACACACACACACACACACACACACACACACACACACACACACTAATTTCTCTTCTCTTTTCACCCAAACACTCCAATGTGACGTTATTGAATCTAAATGATTGAAATGGAGTCATATCTGCACTCTATTCCCCGAAGTAATTATGTGAAGCGGAGATGGAGGCTGTGTGCATTGTGTCCATCATGTCATCATGTTAGTCATCTTGTTCATTCCATCTCATTTCCTACAAGCCATAACATTTTAAATGTGATGCTATCCCTCACCACAGAAAACGCTCAACTCAAGATATTACTTAGTTACTCAGACCATTTCACAATAATAATAATGTGTTTTGGTGGAATTGCAATCGCTAGAAAAAACATAGAAAACTAAAGTACACAAAAAGTACATTAGGCATGAAATGTCTTTTTCAAGGAATGATATTTACTTCCTCCCAGCTGGAGCACAGTAACTCTTTCCTCCTCTTCTGGTAATATAGTTGATAATCAAACACGTCTGCAGTTGTGTGAAGTATAAAAGGTGCTAGTGTCACAGCTCTGTACTGTACGACTTTATAGAGAACATTTCTAGTTACGACTTGTTCCTCGTTGATTGGTTATCGCCATCATCTGTTGATGTCGATTGGCCTGCAACATTATTCCCTCTGCCAAAAAATACTGCCGCACATACATCATAAAACTACTCCTCTACCTTAAAACTTTAACTGATTCAAATAATCATTGTCATTGTTCAGCAGTAGTTTTAGTTTGTCGCAGTAATAAAGCAGTGGCAATGCATCTACAGCACAGATGCCTCATGAAACACTGTGGGTAGTTGTTGTTGACAAGTCATAGTTGTCATGTGTGACTTTAACATGTGCAGTATGGTGCGCCAAAGGAGAAAACAAGCAACTACAGCAAGAGGTAGAAAGAAACGTGGGTCTATGTCCCAATGCTCAACTTATCCGACAAAAGGGGTTGTTGTTGAACAAAAATGTCTTTGAGCTATAATGTTCTTCTTAATGCTGTGTGAATTAAACAGAACTTAAGATATTTAGAACAGAAAAGATTGCAAAAAAGCACAGGTGTTGTCACTGCAGTCAAAATATCTCTGTCGGGGGTTTTGGTCCAATCAGATCGCTGCTCGTTGGTAAACAGCCTCTCAGAGCCAATTAAGGATTCTGCAGTTTCCACTACCTCAGATCGGTCCTGTTTACATTTGTTTAGCTTTAACTGGTTGTGTTTTAACCCTTTTATATGAGAATCTATCATTGATGTATTGTGATGGCTTCCATCATTTGTCAACTAAATCTACCTTTATTTACGGACATTAGATTTGTATCAGTCTTCTTATTTAACTCTAATTCTTTGATGCAATACATACAAAGGGTCAGTACATTTCCCTCATGGTTATTTTTAAAGTTGTAATCAAAAACATGTCACATTGTTTGATAGGGATTTTTAATTAATATAATGTCTTAATATAATGATATAAATCTAGAGCATGTATCTCTTTTAATAACTATGTATCTGCATGTAAAAAATGTCTATTTAAAACCGTTCAAAGGACTGTACAGCCTTGGCAGAGGTATGCGCTCTCTTAATATTTTCTACTTTGAAAACCTACCGTTTCATAACAGGCCTCCCTGCTTATTAAAAGTTACAGACACAGCATAAAATAAATGGAGACTGAGCAGAAACCAAAGCAAACAGGATTCAACTGTGTACGATCGTAAGCCCACACCAAAACATAATTTGAAAATGTGACCTTGATATGTCACTGCGAGAATGCTAGAGGCACGTGCCTCCGCTGAATCGTGACTTATATTCATTTTGAGCCATAAAGAGAACCTACAGAACTTGAACAGAGAAATATACCAAACGTGAAATGATGAATTATTTCTACCCCCAGATAAGTTGCTCTATTGAATTTCTCCCACTTATCATTTATCACTGGAGTCCCAGGAGGCTTAGCTGAGCATGTTTCACTCTGCTGTACATCAGATCGTCTGAGATGTTCCGTTACTGACGCTGTACATCACATTAACTTATATAATCCCTGCTCTTCCACCCTCCACATTAACATTTCCAGCACAATGATAGCACAGACTGAACCTGCAGATTACAGATGACTTTCACATAGCTGGACTTAAAACAACATGACAGGAGAGAGACAACAGACTTCAGAGAGAGGTGGAATGAGATGAGGTAGAAAGGGTGATGGAAGAGGAGGGGATGCACAGATGGGTCCATGATGAGGAGAGAGAAGGTAACAGTGATTTTCTATTTGAATGCCAGACGAAGCAGAGGGAAAGAGGTGGAGAGAAGGGAGAGAAGGGAGGGGAAAAGAGCAAGGCTACGTCAGGGAAGTATGAATATTTCATCAAACTTGTGAAGATCAGGAACACAGAGTAATGGAGGGAGAGAGAGAGAGGGAGAGGAGGAGAGAGAGAGAGAGAGAGAGAGAGAGAGAGAGAGAGAGAGAGAGAGAGAG